CTCTCTCTCTCTCTCTCTCTCTCTCTCTCTCTCTCTCTCTCTCTCTCTCTCTCTCTCTCTCTGTTTATACCCTCGACGCAAATTGTAAAATTCATTTAAGGTTCTTTCAAATATTTTTATATTTGAACAAAAAAGCATCTATGTAACGCTAGAATTATGCCCTGAATTGAATTTAATTCTTGAAAATAACTTGAATTTCGTCTTTCTGACGTCGTAATTTAATATGACCACAAAGAACGGTCTTAAAATTGCTAAGATTTCTTTATGACAAACGTAATGCAATTTTATTACCCCTTTTGACTTTCTTTTACTTTTATTATGATCTTACCGCGACCACGTTCCATTCCGGTCCGAAGTGAAAGCCGTACTTGCAGTACGCATTGTTGACATCATAGAATTCAGCGTGTTCGATAGAACCGGTAATGGATAGAAAAAATTCACCTTCCACTGACATGTCCACTAGTAGCACGACGATAGTTATTCAAACTTTTGACAAATGAAACGTTAACTGAAGGATAAACTGAGAGACTCGATAAAATATGTTTCTTTTGCTCTTTGTGTACGTTACCAAACTACATACTGTTGCTATGGAAACGACGCGTGTGCATTGGAGCATTATATCTTGTGCTGTATGGTGTCGTAAATGCGCTAAGTACATTTCTTCTAATATTTTGCTTTGGTAGCTTTAGTAGTTTCTTAATATAAATATTTTTAATAGTATTAATTTTAAAGTATTAGTAATAACAAGCAAATTAATATTTTCCATACTAAATGAACATTATTTGCTTCTTTATAATTTTCATATTGTTACATTAGCATCATGTATATATTAACATTTTCTTGCTATTATTATTAAAATATAACTTATTTAAGCCCGTATGTGCACCAAATATGTTTCTGTAATTTACTATCGCTGAAAAACCACCGAAAAACTTATCTTTAATTTCTCTCTGTGTTACAGTATCTTTATTCGAAATAAATCTTTTATTTCATTATATTACATTTTACATTGTATTACTTTATCTTCAAACCGTATGACCACTTCTATAAGATATTTAATTAATAAGGGTATCTGTACATAATTAAGAATATATTATTCGCTGCCTAATCATTTATTTATGTTCTTTGACGACGAGAGTACATTTCTAATGTTGTGTTCTAAAATCAGTCAACAACTGAAAAATGACGATAGCTAGAGCATGCTCGTAATAAATATATACATATGCAACAACGCATAGAACTGTACATGAACGCATCGGTAAGTTTGAGACCGATACGATCAATCTATGATCATGACTACGCCAGCATACCATAAAATGAGATTGTGTCTATCAGAGTTTCTGAATTCAAGTCATTCTTCCTACATCATAAAAGAATATTGTCAGATAAGCGCCAAAGCGCTGGTCAAAGATAGAAGTCTAGATGCCTCCCCCTCCCCCCTTCAGACAACTACATCCAAAGGACTCATAAAGCGTCTTTTAGATGTCTTTATGACATACTCTGGATGCCTATGTTGTGCGGATTACGACAGCTAGGCATCATGACATCATCCGCTCTCCCAAAACTCAATGACGACTTCAGACACTCTAATTTGATTTGTCCCATTCTGTGGTGCGATTTCTCCATTTCCGCAAATGCGTTACGCATTATAGTTATTGACTAATTTTTTTAAGGTTTTAACAATTCAGTTCTGTCAGCTTATCGTCCAGAAGAAAGTTCCTTCATACGATTCAACGCGGAGCCAGCTTTGAACCAACCAATCTGCTGCTCGTTCATTGTGTGATTTAAGCTAATGGTGTCGACCTTGCCATCCTTGTGCTTGATTTGCGCTTGCACTGGCTGCAAAGATCACATCAAATAAAGGAATGTGTAAGGCAGAAACTTTAAGAACTGAATATTAAATTTGATATTTTAGACTTTCGCGGTGTATGGAAACTTGGTCTGGCTTTCGGTTAATTAGTCTCAGGTCGTTCCTTTACTATCTTTTACTGTAATAATCTTCTGAAAAGTAAACTGAAATAATCACGGAACGCCAAGAATAAATTCATGAAGGACATGACACTAATTCGGAAGCCGGACCAAATACTGAATGTTAAAAAAAAATAGGACATTTAATATAGCATAATATAATATTCAATTTTCAAATTTTGAGATTTTCTTCTTTAGCATTTTGAAGTTCAACAAGCAAAGTGTACGTTTTATACAAACCTTGCCAGGTGCTAGATCCTTCAATCCAAGAAGACTGATTTTGTCATTGGGTTGGATTTTATCATAGTCTGCAGGATTCGCGAAAGTCAAAGGTAAGAGACCCTGCTTCTTCAAGTTTGTCTCGTGGATACGAGCGAAACTCTTGACGATAATGGCACGACCGCCCAAGTGGCGAGGTTCTAAGGCGGCGTGCTCCCTGGAGGAACCCTCACCGTAATTCTCGTCACCCACCGCCACCCACTTTACGCTATTCTTTTTGTAATCACGCGCAACGTCAGGAACAGCACCCCAAGCATTCGACAACTGATTTTTGATCTTGTTCATCTCGCCATTTTCGGAATTGATGGCGCTAAGAAATAATGCAATAGTAAAGTATATGCATCTTGATAAACTTATATCGAAATTTCTTGCAAATCTTTCGTCCTTTCGACAGAGGCCTGCGATTTTTTCTAATTTAATTCACAAAGCAAGTCTTTTTCTCTTACCCTATAAACATGTTGTTGGAAATATTATCGAGATGTCCACGATATTTAAGCCACGGACCGGCTGCAGAAATATGATCTGTGGTGCATTTGCCTTTGACCTTAATCAGGATCGTCAGATCTTCTAAGTCTTTGCCGTTCCATTTATCGAAGGGTTCTAGCAATTGTAACCTTTGACTCTTTGGATCTACATCAACGTTAACCTTGGAGCCGTCTGATGGTGGTGAGTCGTAAGTGTCCAAACCGGAATCGAAGCCACGGCTAGGTAGTTCATCACCTTTATAAATATATGGTTATATTTATAGTATTTATAGTGTAGTGTTAACATGTGTTATACATTGGTTGCTTTCCAACAAGAGACACAAGTCGACACAAGTATCATCCTATCTTTGTTACTCACTAAATGTGGAACAAAGATAGAATGATGTTTGTGTCGACCTGTGTCTCTTATTGGAAAGCAACTGTTATACTATATATAAGAGAATATTGTGCACACATTTAGTGCCAACACTATACATATAATCATTGCGATATCTAAATTATTATTAACTAACCGTACGGGTTATCGAGGAGAAATTCCTTTCCATCCTTGCCCTTTAGCTTATCCGTTAGCGGGTTGAAATCGAGCCGTCCTGCGATGGAAAGAGCAGTAACGAGTTCGGGACTGGTAACAAACGCATGTGTAGCCGGATTAGCATCATTTCGTCCTGTGAAGTTGCGATTATATGACGTGACGATCGTGTTCTTGTCTCCCTTTTTGATGTCCTGGCGATCCCATTGACCAATGCAGGGTCCGCAAGCATTGGCTAGCACTGTACCTCCGAATTCACGAAGAGTTTGGGCCTAAAACAATATTTGAGATAATTTATCGTAACATAATTTGCAGTAAACTTGTACTCTACATCAAAATATATAACTAAAAGACTAAACACGAATATAATCATCTTACAAAATATAGTAAAGCATCATCAATCCTTATTTGAATTGCAAGCGCATTTTTGCGAATAAGAAGAATGAAAGATTTACAATTCCGTCACGTTCAATTGTCGCGCGGATTTGTTCAGATCCGGGAGTGACGTTGAACGCCGACTTCGCCTTTAGACCGTGCTTTATAGCTTGCTTAGCGATGTTCGCGCATCGACCCATATCCTCGTAGGAGCTGTTGGTGCAGGAACCGATTAAGCCGACTTTGATTTCGTTTGGCCAGTCGTTCTTCTTGGCATTTTCACCTGATAATCATGAAAATATATATCTTAGATAAGACAAACAGATATTATATTATATTCAGATATTATATTCAGTTTGAACGATCCAATTACCAAGTTTAGAGATGGGATGAGCTAAGTCCGGAGTGAAAGGTCCGTTCACATGCGGTTCCAAAGTCGACAAGTCCAACTCGATGACTTGATCGTACTTAGCGTTAGAGTCAGCTGTCAACAAACTCTCCTTATGTTGATCGGCGGCTCCAGCGATACTTGAGCGCCCGGTCGCCTTCAGGTAATCCTGCATTCTGTAATTGTACGGAAAGAGCGAAGTAGTGGCACCGATTTCAGCACCCATGTTGCAAATAGTAGCCATTCCGGTGCAGCTGATGCTGTCGACACCCGGGCCAAAGTATTCGACGATGGCGCCGGTGCCACCCTTGACGGTGAGAATGCCGGCTACTTTCAGGATGATGTCCTTGGGACTGGTCCAGCCCTTGAGCTCTCCGGTGAGCTTCACGCCAATTACTTTGGGGCACTTGAGCTCCCATGGGATGTTCGCCATGACGTCGACGGCATCAGCACCACCAACGCCGATGCACAGGCAGCCTAGACCGCCTCCATTCGGAGTGTGCGAATCAGTACCGATCATCAGTAGTCCCGGGAAGGCATAATTCTCAAGGATGATCTGATGAATAATGCCAGAGCCCGGGTTCCAAAAGCCAACGCCGTATTTGGCGCCCGCGGTCTTCAGGAAGTTATATACCTCCTTATTGATGTCTTTGGCACGCTTCAGATCCTCGTCTCCACCGATCTGAGCCTCGATCAAGTGATCGCAGTGTATGGTGGAAGGAACTGCGACTTTCGGTAAACCTAAAAGGAAGAGAGGTAATTTATTGTTTAATATTATGAAAATTGGGAAAGATTTCTAAATGCTGATTGAAAGTGGCGACTTTACCGGAGCTGATGAACTGCAACATCGCCATTTGTGCAGTTGCATCCTGCATTGCGACTCGGTCCGGACGCAATCGCAGATAGCTGGTGCCACGGACGATATCTTGCTTATTGGGCTCATCAAGATGGGAATAGAGAACTTTCTCGGATAGAGTCAGTGGCCGATTTAATCTGAAAGATCGTCAGTGATTAGATTAGTATTGGCCCGTTGGATTTATATTGTGTCAAAAATACGTAAGTATTCTTTTGATTTCGTCATATATAATTTAATGTCTAGTAGATGTCTAAAAATAAACAAGGAATGTTTCAGACTATTTTTATAATATAACTTAAATATAACTGTTATGTATATAGTGTAGTATAAGTGTTAATATTATTAGTCATTTTGGGTATGTGCATCTGTTGGCACATACTCATGCATTTCATGCATGAAACTGGCATTACACTTTTAAAAATAGAAATCCGAATGGAGTAATTAAAGTAGGCTTACCTCTTTTTAACTACCTTAAGATTTTCTTCTAACTTGTCATAGGGAAGATAGCTGTTTGAATCGAATTTGGACATGGCAACTTTCGCAGCTGCGAAGCTCAAAGGGCTTGCGCTGAAGCATCGTTGCTGAATATCCGCTGCAAGAGCTGACAGCTTCTGTAATGAAATATTTTTTTCAAGCACGTTTTAAGGTTGTATATATCGATCAGAAATAAATATATCATCGATATGTAGCCAGTTGACTTGTCATATGCTGCATATTGCTATTTATTTCGAATCATAATTACGTAATTAGATACGTTTATTGCATTCAAATTAATTGCTCATAGATGCATTGCAATGAATGTATACAAATAAATATCCGGAGAAATTAATTTTGCAAGCAAGATATATTTTTTAAATGGGTGTAGCAATGCTGAGTAAGAGTGCATCTGGTAAAATGTGAAATATTATATATTGATAAGTTCTTATCATTAAATAGCATTATCAAGTGTTATCAACAAACATACAATTTATCTGGGCATTTTTATTACAGTAACGTCAACTGAAGTTTAAATCTTTCGTCTTTTCCTCCTACCTGCGCTACAGTAACCTAACGACATTGAAAAACGACCGATATATGTACAATTTAGCACGCGATTACGTAACATTCCTCTGTTTTTTATTTCGCAGTGCTCTTCACCTTGGAATCCGCTCAACTCGTCATATGTTTCATTCACGCGTCTCGTGATAATCAGTTACAATGATACTGAACAATAGTATATATGTTTTGCACCCTTCCCCTTCGACAGTCAATTTTTCTCGCTACGACAATCCACGAATTCAAACACTTCAAACGTAGGAGCTTCTCTTGCGCGTTCCAGTAGATTTTAATCATCCACTTTATAATTCCAAGACATTACAACGCGTGAAGGCTGTCTAGTTTACTAGAGGTCAGTCGGTATTGACCTCTGCACGCTGAGTTGAGAGGTTCATGGGATAAAGCAAATTCAGAGCACACTTGCGTGCGATGTCGACGCATCTGTTTTCCTTTTTTTACCTGCGCGCGTAGAACTCTCGTGCAATATGACATGGTGGTTGAGTTAGTGATCCGCCGATGCTATTGCTCGTGTTCGAAGGCTTTTGTGAAGGACGCAGTAGTTTATTGGAAGGCAAGACGAAATTTCCCAGTGGCAGTTCTTCTCAAACCGGCCACTACAAGGGAACTAAGGACACTGTATGCTCTTTCTTCATGTCGTCGTTGCTTGATTTTGGCGCCTGCGCACAAATTAGTACGTGTTTCCATATCGAACGACCTGAGAAAATATAACCACATCGCAATGGTCAAGTTAAAACTCGTCCAAAATTTCACCGGTGAGACACTGATGTTCCATGAGGATGGAATAAGCGACGTGCGAGATCTTTTGTCGCAACTATATTTATTAATCAAAAAGTCGCTATGATCATTTAAAATATCGAGATCGAACAGATGCAGGAACGGCTCGTAAATTGTTCAAAGTAATGCTACTGCAAGATAAACTAGAAAAAAAATTAAAGATTTATCTTTATTATCCCCGATAAAGTTTAATTTATTAACTACTCCGTTATGTGTTCGGGGTTATGATAAATAATATAATATATTATAAATGATATATTATAAATAATATAATATAACAGAAATATAATTTTTATGAATAAAAATTGAGTAAAAGAGAAAACTGTTTGTTGTGTCTTTACCGTCTGTATTCTATGGGTTTTTTCATATTTCTCAACTTATTGTGTAATTTAATTTTTTAATCCCAATATTCTCTTAAAAGTATTATTTATCTAAAGAATTTACATAGATACTGCACAGTAGTATTTAAGATATCGGCTATTCTAAGGAGAAGAGAATCAATGTTGCTTCTAAGAGCACTCTCGGTTCGTGGTGAATGACTGTTGGTTGTCAGATTATCAGCAATCGGTAGTATAACAGTTGAGAGCAATAAAACTACACGTTATCTTGGATTGCAATCTTATCCATATATCTATTATTCTTACATAAGATTATTGAATCATAGTATCATTTATCAATCTGATTAAAGCAGTTAACAAGTTGGAATATATCATCGGATATTTGAAAATCAAACATTTATAAAATATTTTATTATTTAATGCCTTTTTCTAAATTTTATATATTTTTAATATTAATCTTAATATTGTAGCATTCTTATATTTTAATTGAAAAACACACAGTGTCTACTTTGAAAAATTGTTGAATCTTATACAAAGATTGAACGTCGAGTTCTTGTGTTTTATTATAATTATTATGTACACCTTTACTAGAAAATAATGATAGATCTGTCAAATGCGGACTTGTAAAATATTGATCAGAAGAACTGTGAATAATGATCCATGGATACAAATTCACAATTACTTACGCTCATAACTAGTGGTTTACGACTATTAATAAAGTCTGCGCGCGCGCGCTAAAGACTGCCTTAGCTAAACCATTAATATTGTACGTTAATACATTGTGAATTATTTTCCATCAGGAATATTTATTCTTAGAACATTGTGTAAATTGAAGACTATATATGAAGTAGTATATAGCCTTGAATAATTAATTGTATTAGTATCCGATGATCGCGAATGTGACCAGCAATCGATTTTCGTCACGACGATCTTTGATCAAAATGCCGCACAGAATTGTTCTGTTCACCTTTGCGGGGTCAAAAAGATATTATACGATATGAAAAAGGCATTATGGGCGCAATGAGTCCTTGACACGATTAATCCGTTGTAGGTGGACCAGGGCAAGTTTCGACACATACCTTTCCGCTGATCTCTTTGCTCGTTCACTAACAATCCGTTTGTCGATTAACGACGTATCGGGACGAATACCCTAAACGGATTTGCTGTCATCTTTTGTTAAAGATGTCATCACGATCTTATGCGCGACGCCCTCGCAAGGTAAATTGTTCGGGAGAAGGCCGGCGACATTTTTCGCCGGATTATGCATATTGTAGTTTATGACATACGACACGAACTAGCAACGATCGCCATTGCAAAAGAGAAACTGCAGAGAGCGGGATCTTAATTGAAATCTTGAAGCGATCGTATCCTGTCAGATTAGATGGTGGATAACGGTGAAACTATATATTACATCGCCATTGTATCTCGATTGAAAAAAATTCGGAGACTATCTGGGGACTGCACGGGCACTAACTCTTCCCTAAAATTAAATGAATAAAAAAGAGCAATAGGAAGTACCTACTTTCGCGAGAGAAAGAAATTCCAGGCGAGAAATCTGTGTTACATATAGAGTGTCCTAATTTTTTAATGCACTTCTTTCATTTTTGGAATTTTTCACAATTTCCGAATAACTATTTTTTAAACAATTTTTTACATCTGAATACTAAATATCTTGTGAGCAGATTCCATTTTACATTTCTGCTAAGATAAAGTTTGCTTAGAACATGGAAAATTTCTCAATTTGTGATTCCAAAGCTGTTGATATCTTAAAAATTTTATTAAAGAGAATAAGAGAGATAAATAAAATCGAAATCGACAAAAAGATCTTTTAAAGAAAGAAAGTGCAATAACTTGAGACACCCTGTGTAAATGTTCTAGAACTATCACCAGTCCTTTCACTTACAAGTTCTTTGACCAGTTTGCAATCAATTTTCTAATAAGAAAATTATTAAATCCCACATAGAAAATACTTTAAGATCTAATTGAAACTTAGATTATCCGATTACCAATGTTTGTATCATTGTTGATCATTAAGGTTTATACTTTGTAAAACTAAACTTTGTTATCGGTAGTCGACAAATTAGAATTGTTTTTACCGACGGTCTATAAATAATATTTTTTTTAGGATTTTATGCATCTGTTCTGCGGTATCTATTCATTAATGTTTGTATTTTCATTCTGTAAAAGCACTTTCAATTCAATGCATTCAATTGGAAGAAAAGTAAAAATAGCGAAATTAAAATTCCTAAGGCAATGCTAAGTCTCGACATGACGTACAGATTCGTAGTTTCTTCTTTTCTTTTATTTAGGCGCATAAAATTAAAAGTGCTTTTGCCGCATGAAAATACAAACGTTAATGAATTATTAACGCTATCTACTTGTATAAAATTATAAAAATGTTTATTTACCAACGGCCGGTAAAGTAGGAAGTGCTGAATCGTAACATATTGCAAGTTCGTAGTTTTCTCTTTTCTTCTAATCAGATGTATCAAATTAAAAGTACTTCCACCGGATTAATGTACAAACGTTAATAAAATAGTTTATGCTATACAATTGCTTTAGCAAGACCGAGAAGAACCAAGAAAGATCAAAAAGGCAGAGAAAACCAAAATAATTCTTCTCCTTACAAATCTTCAAATTATGAAATCGTTATATTATCCTTAGATGTACATGTGTTTTCCATATTATATATAAAACAAAAATGTATTATTTTATGTTTTAATATGGAATCTAGAGTGGAAGCTAAAGAAGATATTTGTATTGTGTTTATTTTGCATTAATAATTATATCAGTACAATTGCATTTCTTTTTCGTTTATTTAATTTTTGATACAAATAAGATTTATTATATATATATATATATATATATATATTTATGTGTGCGTGTGTGTGTGTGTGTATACGTACGCACTTATGAATTCATTGCACATTTGAGTTATCTTTCGAAGGTCATCTACGAAGGCAAAGAAGGCGACCTTGCCAATTTGACAAACTCGGCCTAAAGAGCGATCGACCAAGTTAGCGAAACGAGGGCATGTTCAGCAAAATCTGGCGCCAGGGCGCATTGCGTCACGATTTTACATCATTCGCTGTCATCTCTTACCCTTATTGGTAACTTAGAGTCTCTTCAAGCGAGCTAAATCATCAAGTACTTCTTTTCATAGCTTACATATTGACAGCTATCTCAAAACGATTGTTATTGGCACAATTCTCCAGCGAATTAGAAATTAAAAGTGTATGACAAAAAGTATGGGGAATTTATTCGATTATGGTGATCAAACAGCTTGAATATACTGAGACACGTAATTCATAAATTATTGTTATCGATATTGGAAAAGCAAAGTAACTGTATGATTTTACACTTAATTGTTTTATATTTAATAACATTTACTGCGTCGACTTCAATAACCCAGCCGGCTCGATCGACCAACATGCCGCGGGCGATGATGGCGAAAGTAATGGCTCGCTCTAATTTCCTCGAGGCTATATCAAGTGTTACACCCCCGCCTTTTAGCGACGCGCTAACGTTCTCATTCCCGAGTTTCTAGAGCTACTGATTCTTAAATTGCTAAATTAACTGATCTTATTCTTTATGTGTTCCACAGCAGCATCTGTGTTTTCTTAACTCTCATCTTTATCGAAGGGAAGATATAAGACATGCTCGTAGAAAGTCGTATTTTTAGTCATTTATGTGTCATAAAAAAATTTTACGTATATTAAATAAATAAATTATCTTTTCTTGCATTTTACTAAAAAATAAATTATTGTTCGACTGTGTTTGATGCGTTCTTTAAAAAAGATTTTGATGGTGCTACTTTTCAATTATTAGTGAAATTAGCGAGAAGTATTATTTAGCGAGTATATATAGCAAGTGTATATTTTCTATCTATTTTTATATTATTATATTTATATTATTTTTTTTAATATTATTAATATTATGTTTTTATTATTATTTTTTTAATATATTTTTTTTACAAAATATGTATCATAATATGTACAGTAAAATATGTGCAGTTTTACAGGAAATATATTCTTTTTTCTAAAATTTTCTAGAGTAATTCTTTTTAGTTCACTTCTGTGATAATAATTACATACGAGCGAACACGGTGATTTCCTTCAGGCGCAGCCCCAACGTGCCGGTACCGATACGTAAACGTCGCCTCAGGCTTGCTTTCGATATCGGCCAAAAAATCGAACTCATAGCTCGAATTGACATGCGAAAGGAAAAGGCTGTACGAGTCCTCGAAAGTAGTCTGGCCAGCCGCTCGCAAATATATCATAACAGCGTTTCCCAAACGAAGACTCGACATAAAGGAAGACAATACTTATTGCAAAATAAATATTGCAATAAATATTGCAATCTCAGTGAGCATTAACAATTTCAGAGATAGATATATACTAATGGAATATGCATGTTCCATTAGTATTACTAGTTCATTATAGTATATATATGTCTCATTGGGGAATTAGCACATCAAACGCGGTAGTGATCACCAGTTACCTGTGCTGTGATATCTGCATGTCTCATTCATTTATGTGTAGAATAATTAATTGATCCTACTTAGCAAATTAGACGTATGGTTAATGAAGAGTCAATGAAATAGTGTAAAAAATGTTAATGTCAGAAATTGTATTTAATTACCGTAATTTTGGTTAGTTCAGTGTTTAGATAATCTTTCGAACAATCGATAGACATGAGCGCGGCGGAGAAGTCGTTGATGTGTCTTTAAGAACCTGAAGGATATCTCGGGCGTCACAGCAACGGCTGTCTGCGAAACACATCGACAACTCGATAAGCAGACGAAAGGAATTTTGGCGAATTTGCGCGCGGTCGCATCGGGACCATAGCGGGCGTGTCTGGTCCCGTAACCGGACGAAAGAAACGGGGTGCCCCGGCGTGACGTAATTCTGGAGAAAGCGAACCCGTGCGTGGACACGCACGCTCCGTAAAAAGAGCGGCGAACCGACATCTCCGCAGACCGGCATGATCCATCAATTACGCGGATTGTTATTTCCTATAGTACGTCACGTATGCGCTGGTATAGTGTTCGCGCGAGGCAACCTCGACGACCCCGGGACGATCAGGCCGAGCGAAGGTCCTGCCGGCTCCTTCAATGACGTCGCGCGGCAGGAATCTCTTCACGACGGGATAAATTACCGCACATCTCTCTGACTCGTAATACACACGATAATAATGTCCGTGCGCGATTCTACGAAACGCTTAATTGCGCCCCGGTATGGTGTAAACGTTATCTAACTTTGAGAATATGATTGCCAGGTGCATTAGATCGAAGCTTCGACACGTCCTCGAGGTCGTCCTGTAGGCTCGTAGATTTGAGAAATACTTCAAACTACGTCTATCGTAAGCAAAGATAAAGTTAGACGCGAAAAATAAGCGCAAAACTTCTTTTTATTCCCTTGTTTTTGTGGCATTTTTATTCCAGGTGCTTTGCCTTTTTCGTCCTTCGTTCGATGTTTTGTTAATACTCAGATAATCGGCGCATCATTGAGAGAAAGTTCATTGATTAGGTTATCTTTTCTTTTCTCGTAGCAGTACTTGAAGGCTAATCAAACTTGCGAAATTGTTGTCAGTAATCATCGGCGATGTGAAGAAAAGTCAGCCGCTGGAATTTCTTCTTCGATAGCTTCCGCGTAGTAAAAGTCGGGGTCGAAGAGAATCGCCAAGAAACGTGGACTTTCTATAAAAATAAACACAACTTTGTTTCATATTACAAAACATGTGATGTCGCTAATTAGTGGAGTCTCGTAACGGTTGTTGCATGCTTCTTAGTGTTCGTGAACACGTGTGATGTACCGAGTTATATTATTAGTACGATCTTATTTATTATTGAATGATAAAACTCAGGATGAATACAAATGTTCTGAAAAAAACAGAGAATCTAAAAGCTCAAATAGATACGGATCTTAATTATCTTATTGGAATCTTAATCATTTTTTGCAACGTGTTGCTTTCAAGGAAGAAATAATATAAATAAAATAAACCACGCTTTGGTATCAGAATCGAGTATCTTAGTTCCATATTAATAATTGTTACTTGAAACTTGTTTTAAGTAAGATACATTTGAAACTGAAATTAAATTAGGATCAGATTAGAATTGAGATTAGATGTGAGTTTTTGCAGTTAAAACACGATTACAGATATAATGTCACGCATTTTATATGATTAAATTAAAAATTAAATCTAAGTTTCCAATTTATATCCAAATAATTGAGAAAATTTCAAGTGAGGGGAGAAAATTTCAAAAGTAAAAACTATTAATACGGACCTTAAACCAATATTTCCAACGTTACTCACATTGACCTTCGTTTATTTATTTTGAAGTTTCCCAAGGAGAATGTACCGCGATGCCTACGCACAGAAGTGTGTGTTTTGATAATTGTTTTCGTATATACGTAGCGCGTCAGCGTACCGACTGGAATTCCCGAGGAATCCACAGTGACATGTTAGCAACGAAGAAGGAGCAAACGGTCGATTATAAATCGCGTTTTCGCAACGTGTCGCTTCGACCGATTTTTCCAACGAAGGAGTCGCTGAATTGTTCTCACGGTTACTTTGGTGTCGCCCTGCATACTTGCAAATCGATTCATCCTACGATCTCTCGATAACGTCAGCTCGCCTCGACAAAAGAACCACGCCCGTGGCTATACCCGCGGGCTTCGCCAAAGCACCATAAAGCTACTTACGTAAAAGGAGGCAAAGACATATTGCCAGCTATAAAATACGTTACCAGTCATTTCTGTTCTCTTTGGAGATAATTATTATGTATTTATAACTCAAATGTCGCGTGCGCTTACCTTCTAGCCTAATTTTATGGCATAAGCTTTCCCTTGGCTACATAGAGTAAAGAGAATATGCAGAGTGTGCTTGAAATGAATAATGACACGAACTTTATCGTTTCTTGTTCTATAAATTTTACTAGATTTTCCCTTGGTAGAAGTATAATTAAAAGTAAAGATTGGTTTTACACGTGTATACGTACGCGCCATTATCACACATTTATTTCTCCTGTTTATTTATTATATAGCAATTATCTAAATCTTTCCAGCACAACGCCTCCTCCAAAATCAAAACAAGTGTCTTCTCTCACGTTGCTTGATGTTCTTTTAATGACGGCTATCTGTAAGTCATGACCTTGCGTATGCTTTACATCTATCTTCTTTCCCAGGGCAAATTTTCGGCATTTGTCGACGGACACCTCGAAGGTCTCGGTGCGTCTACATTTACGAGGTTACACATTTCGCACGAATCATGTAACTCAATTGTTCTGACCCGGTCCTTCGAATTCAGTAATGATCAGAAGACCGATAAGAGAGAACTCGTCCGAGGTACGGCTGTGAGTGAATTCTCATGTGAAGCCGGTACGGTAATGACGGCTAAGCCGATCTAACGCAAACGACAACCTACATCGTCATCCTGAAACTGTCAACACATTAATCGCACTTTATAAAAGGCATCCGCACGCCCACTACGAGGTGACTGTTTCCTTTTCAAGTGCCTGCTGCTTTTTTCACGTATGCCGCAATTTTCTAAAAGATTCCTTTCCCTCGTCGTCGATCCACGCATTGCAGAGAATGCGTGAGTCGTTGCAATTGCACCAGATCGCCCGGGGCGTCGGAGTTAACGAAGTATGTTCGTTTATTGTCGTCTCGTTGTTTCTCGCAGGTCACCGTGAACTGATCTAACTCAACACTGTCGTAGAATGACGAATAGGTTATTTTTGAGATTAGTTATATCCGTAATAAAAAGGCAACTGCTATTTATAGACGTAACGTCGCGTCATCTTCAACATATAATTTGTTGGTTAATTAGTTACAATTACGTGAGAGGGAAAGAGTCGCCGCATCTGTATTTTCTCAATTGTAAATTCGGCGCAAATCGCCGAATCGGCCAATGGCTATTGTCTCAAATTGCTATACTGTATCTGAAAGGTTAAATGGGCCTTTGGAGAGGATAATCGATTTGTTCGATGACGAATGACTCGTGACGAATAAATGAGCGGATGATTCCTTGAACAATTGCACGAGACGCAGAGGTGTCTGCGTGTGCTTTTCCGATTATGTAAACCACTTCACTGTTGATAACGCTGTAAATTACTCTAGCCGGATTGGCGCGAATACCTCGAATCGCGGAAATAAAAATAATAAAGGATGAGATCAATAAATCAGATAACAATGAAAGCGTTAAAGTAGAAGCGCGTTGCGGCATCGGGCCGGCTTGAATTGAAATAATTTATTGTCGTCATTGTAATACCATCCCGTTCGCTGACGAAAATGACGTAACGCGCAGAAACAGCTGTAACCCGGGCACACAGGCAGATGGTCGAGATCATCGTTGATCCATTCGACAGTCGTTTCGATGCCCGCTCGTTTATCAGACGCTTACCAGATTATAAGTCTTGCAGACTTCATTGAGAAAGGATCGTACAATTTCGGAATCAGTCATCGACATTCGATCGCCTTTGCCGCAAGTTTCTCACGATTGAACAACGGTGTTGAAGACCGACATCGATGAGGATTTCGTCAGGGTTGAAGAATAGTATAGCAAATTCCATGGAATTTTTTATATTAATATGTAAAATCTTTAATTCCGAATCTTTTGAATTTTTTAATGAAATCTTTTTTATTGCTAAGAAAGAGTTCAATAAACGAAAGCTCACTTGATAAAATTATGTTTTATTTACCTGTTTTTCCTTTAGGGTAGTTGAAAGCTGCTATGAGAGAGATGATAGAAACTTATTGAAATTTATGTTTAATCAGCTTCTGCGCAAGCAGCACAAGAATGTGAAACAAATGTTACTAGCCGAGGTGTCGAGTGCACCTGCTTCTGACAACAGCGTGCAGGAGATTGGTGACGCAATCACCTACGTTAAAGACGGATTCATCAATCGATTTGCATACGCCGGTGATCAATACAGCAAAGCGGATACCACGTTAGATAAATATGTACAGACAAATGGATTCGCGTTGCATCGGAAGAACGAAGTCAAGCTATCTGCAGTGGTAGTTCGAATCGAACGATCATAGCGTGCGTTTCTGACAGTAGTGCAAGCTCATCGCGACTAAGATAATTCCTACGGTTAATTGCTGATCGACTGAGATTTCTCGATTTTTCGTGGGTGAAGACGCGATTAATGCTCAGATTGCAAATTCAATTACAAATTGGCGGAAGCATCCGAGAAATTCGGTTATCAAGAAATCGATTTCTGTCACGCTAGAATAACTTATACGATAAACGTGTGTTTCGTCGCAAATTTATTCTGATTTAAATTGATTAATCGAGCATTATGGTCGGCTGATTTGCAATTTCTAATTTTCTGCCGACTAACCATTGCCAATTCGTCCGGAAAGGAAAGAAGGATTCGCATGCTTGCAAGCATGCGTCGCCTCGTTTCACGCCGTACATCACGCGCGTAACGCGGAAAGTGTCCCGATCTGGGACAGTCCAGGTACCCCACCCGTGATTCAGCGATCCATCGTTCCCGGTGGCCTCCCGCTCCCTCTTTTCTCGCCTCTCCGCGGTTCGTTCTCTCGGTGCCTTCCCTTTCGAACTTTGGTCCTTGCTGCCATCCGGTCGTGGCGGCGTAAGGTTTACTAAGAGAGCACGCGTCCTCCGAAGGTTCAGTACAAAACGCGCGCTCGGACTCGAAGGATCCTTGGATCCTCCACTTGATAGAGAAGAGAAAGAAAGGACCTGGTCAACTCGCGCGGGATCTCAATGCTAGGCTGAACGGTTCGAGTGTGATTACCTTGCTTGTCCAGCATCCGCCGGCGATCCGATTTCGGTGCTCGATCGAGCGTCGCGATTTCGGTGCTCGATCGCGTGGAAATCGCGATGTGGGGTCGCGGAGTCCTTCTAGTGTCGTTTGCGCTCATAGCGCTCGGATCCACGACCAGTAAGTGAGATTTTTTAAGATGACTTACCTCTCACAGGTCATTCGGAGCATAAACTTGATAAGCGCGTCAAGCAGTTGCCGTGTTTTAATTCATTGAAGCAACTTGGGATGTAAATTGTCCGTATTTTATGCATTTTTTTTATTACTTGTGTTATTAGTGCGATATAAATTTTTATATTTTATTTATACATATTTACTTATTAATTATACTATTGATTTAAATATCTTATATATTTTTACTTTGGTAATATAATTAAAGGTTTTTGATACTTGTTAAAAGAAATTTTATTTAAAGTTACATGAAGAAAAAAAATGTTTCTTATTTAACAATTTCTCCGCTTTATAAAAATATAAAATAAAATATCTTCTGCTTATAATTATGGGGAACAGGTTGTAAGACATTTTCATTAAATAAAGATCACAAATTGCTTGCAGATTATTTGAATTAACAGAAAAATATGTCGACTAAAATATCTCCCATAAATTTTCATTTGCGCTTAATTTTCTGACAAAATGAAGATTGAGTGGTACATTAGAGGGTTAAATAGTATGGCTTTCTTTTTTCTTCTTTCTTTTTACGCATCGGTGTGTAACGCGAAAAGTGATCTGTCTGTTGCGTTACACGTGTATCGAATACACCACGTCCTTTAAGGTTGAGTTACGCGATGCGCGATCATCCTCACAAGGACGATACCATTTACATCATCAATCGCTTGCAATAGCATACCTCTGACAGCTCCTTAAGTATCGGAGAGCAGGTGACAGCATAGAGGTTTTATTTTATTTTATTTTATAACTGAATGCTTACCTGTGTCAGTCATTTAACATTAACAGAAAAATTAAATCGAGAAATGTGCTTTATTTATCGTAAATACATGGAATGTCTCATATAATAGTAGAGAATATATTTCTATTTTATATTTTTTAAAACGGACAAAAAAAGAACACAACCTTTACTTTCATTATCATTCAATAACACATATTTCTCATTTATTCATACGACTTAGTGTCTAGCGATATCTCTCTGAAAGACATTTGTAGTATTTATATACGATAGAACCCCTAAGCAATTTTACGCAATGTTAGGCTCAGTCGTTCGCGCGCGATAATTACACTAACTTATTATCGCGTTCAATGTATCCGGGACCGTTGATTATTAATAAGCCTCGTATAATCCGCAACTTAATCTCCCGCGAATCACTTACAGCACGGTTTCTTTCTTTTATGGAAAGTGAACAGCAAGTTTGCGCGACTATGCAAACGACTATTATAGCAACAATCGCATAACACACCGAGTGACCGGTCGATGATGTCAACTGTTGAAACTCCCGCTATGGACATGTCTTCTTCTTTTTCTCTCTGTCAGTATGCGCTTCTCGCAATGCGCGAAATCGAGCACACGTTCTAATTTGTTGCAGAATGCCCGAAGAGAAAAACCTCACCCGCCAGAGAAATCCTCTGCTATACTTCTACTTTCGACGCGCAACTACTCGCCGACTCCGTATGCAGCTGCACCACTCTGGTGCATCAAAATCATGACGTGCGAAATCTTTCAATTTCCGGTAAGCTTCAAACGTCTTGAAGAAAAGGCACAATATTAACTTCGTTTAATTGAGGCCGCAATAAGAAATAAATAAATACCTTAATTGAGGCAATTACTCGAGACAAGTAACGAGTAATGGTGTTTCAGATATTACCGATTTGCGGAAGTCCTTGAGTGAGATGCATCCATCTCTTCAATTTGCAATTTCTATACATGACGCCGAGAAGACGCTGAGAACTTCCGCTATGTTACGACAGGAAACGATCGCCCGGATTATTGCTGTCATGAAGGAGGTATATTGTTTTACTTTTGTAAAACGTGAAATTTGACCATGTCGTAATTTTACAAATTAAGAGAAATTGCAAATTAATAGAAGAGTTTTTCCTCTCTCCCCTTAAGGTGGATGGCGTAGAGCTAAATGTGACGGCGGGTTCTAAAGAGCGTCTTTATAACTTCGTCAAAAGTCTAAAAGATGAGATGATCAGGAAATCCTATGATAAACGGATTTTCGTGACTTTGCCTAGTAAATCAGAGGACTTGGCCAAGCAGTTCGATCTCAAGGAACTCGCAAAGTAAGATCCCTTCTTTTCAACTAACGTTAAATAGGATTTACTCGCTCGAGTCGGCGAAATGTATGACAGAGATTTTCAGCGGCCGAGCGATGAATCTGCCATCTCTTGAGTGAATTTCTCATTGAACTGCATGCATGTTTTTCTTCTTCCGGTCTTCCTCATCAGGTACGTTGATCTATTTACGCTGCCAACGGACTACTTGACAGACGAAGATAGTACCTTTGTTACCTTTCACCCCTCGCGTCTAATGGGACTCTTCGATATATTGAACACGGACAGCTTAGTAGACTTGATAATTGGATTAGGAGCTCCGAAGCAAAAAATCTTAGTGTCCTTGCCGGCTAACGCATATAAATTTACTTTGAAGGACGAGTCTGAGAACGTTCCTAGGTCGCAAACTACCGAAAAAGAACCCGTTCCGATCAACCGTGAACAGGTACGATCTATTCCTAATTTCACTTTCTTATACTTTCAACAGTAATTAGTTAATTCTCCTCAAGATATAAGAAAGTTACTAGTTAATTATTACTTTCAAATTATAAGAAAGTTAATTTAGTTAATTAGCTAAAAGGAGCCAATATATGTTAATAATAATATATCAAGCGGAAACAATATATGTGAGACGAATTCATTTGGTATTGTAGCTCTGCGAAGCTATAACCAGCGGAGAATGGACCGTTGAACGAGATGAAGATCTCACGGCACCGTACGCGTTTCGAAACAAGACGTGGATCTCTTTCGAAGATAAGATTTCAGTCGGAATAAAGGTATGTCTGCGGATGTCTTCGGTTAGATACTACATATAAAAAATTGATCATGATATCGTTGTCGGATATCAAGTAATTCATTATTTATTTATTTCTTTATTTAGAAAGAAAAAAATTAACGTTTCTACATGATGTTTTATTTCAGGGAAAATATGTGTATCTGCGCGATTTGGCGGGATTGGCAGTGCGAAATGTAGAAAACGATATAAAGACTGAGTGTGAGAAACCAATCACGCAAGAAATTTATCATTCCTTCACGGAATTTAAGAGAAAATCGAGACATGCCGTGCTTAATGCGCTGGAAGACGAGCTTCATGTATGTCGATTTATTTTTATTCTACTTCACATGCTCAAGAAATGTAACACAGTTGCTTGTTACCTTCCCTAAGATAATTTCCCGATAATTTCAGGAAGCTCAATTTTCGTATCCAAATCAAGCGAAAACGTCAAACTTCCGCGTGATTCGCGCAGTAGACGCGGAAGGACATATCAGAGCTGTACGCGAAAACACCCAAACCGAATTCGTTTGTAGAAGACAGGGCTACTTCGTACATCCTAAGAGTTGCAACAGGTAATAAATATTAATACTATTGGTTGTCGAGTAAATAAAAATTAAAGATTGGTATTTAATCAACCTCTGATATGTGCGTATAATGAACATTGCCTTCTTCACAGATTTTACCGCTGCGTCAAATTCAATCAAGAGGTCGAAGATTATTCCGTCTTTGAATTCGATTGTCCAGCTGGCCTGTCGTTCGATGAGCGTACGGAGGTTTGCGTATGGCCAGGCTCTTTGCCTCAAGGCTCACCGTGTCCTGGCAGCAGCGAAATTGCTCCTGTGACACCAAAAAGATTCGAATGTCCATCTCGATCCGGCTACTATGCGGATCCGCAGAACTGTCGTTGGTTCTTTGCTTGCATGGACTTAGGTATGTTATAATTTATCAACGTACCGATCTAATTTTCAAAACTCTTCAACTAAAAGAAAATAATTATAAAATATGCTGTGTAAGGGAGACTGATGCTAGTTATCATAATCCCCGATTTTCTCTACACACTTTTTTTATTGTTGCATGTTATCATCTCTATCTTTACTGTGAAATAATGAACCTTAATTAATGTACAACTTGCACTAACTAAGGTGGACCTGAGTTAATGGCGTTCGAGTTCCGTTGTCCGTATGGCTTGGTGTTCGACGAAGAAAAATTGGTGTGCGAGTGGCCCTGGTTGGTACCAGCTTGCTCAGAATCCGGATCAGCTTATACCAGGACGGAATACGACTATAGAGGATACACTGCGGGAACCTCCGCTGGACTCGGTACTGGAGGTTACGTTACTGGCTCTATACCTGGATATTCCGTCACAACTGGAACCGGTTATTCCGATTATTCTAAGTCTACTGATGCTGGTATTCACGAGGGTAGCCGACCGAACTATTTCGGAATTACGGGACGCATCGGCGGATATACTAGTATTTCGTCTTCTGATGCTGGAGCAACCTCTGGACATGTAGGATTATCTAGTCCATCTGTGGTTGGTTATTCTGGACCAACTGGACAATATGGAGAATCAGTACCCATCTCAACGTATTCTGGACCTGATATACACGTTGCTTCTATATCTCCCGGAGTAACCGTTGGAGGAAGCACAAGATACCCTACAGTGAGTAGTGGAATTAGCAGTACTACACATACTGCGTCCGATGGCAGAGTTGGATATTCTGGATACACCGGTGAAGTTACTGGATATGCCAATACTGAATCGAGCCGTATTAGTACGGGTATTTCTGGATCTACAGGAGGGTATTCGGGAACATTTGCTGGAGATCATTTAACAGGGCAAGGTGTAACTTACTCAGGGATACCTGGATCAAGTTATTCTGGCTCTACACACACAGGAAGCGTCAGTAGAGGTCATCCGATAGCAGGAGTAAGTTATACAAGACCAGAAACGAACTATTTCGGTCCCACGGAATCGCTTGGGTCCGTTGACATTCGCCTAGGCTCTACTGGACTCAAGCATGATGGATCGACAAGTCTGTACACAGAATCCAATACATTTAATGCCGATGGTTACTCAGCTTCTACCAATGTCTATCCAGGAGCAACTGGACGTCAACCATCCGGCGCAACGGGCTCGTTATACGGAAGCGTACCTAAGTTCCCTTTTTCCGGAGCTACTAGCGGTGTTGAAATCAGTGGATCAATAAGCGGAGGATACACAGGATCAACTACAGAAGTATATCGAGATTCTGCTGCTACGGGATACTCAAAAGCTACTGATGGAATCCGTGCTGGCTCTTTTGGAATTGATGTAAATCTGCCGAGCAGTTCTGGAACAGACTCAAGCTTGCACTCAACGACAGGACGTGTCACAGGAACTAATTTTGTTAGTGGCGCTTCAAAACCAGGATTTGCGCCTTCTTTTGGCCCCGGGCGTCAAAGTGTTACGACTACTGACAATAGTCATTTAATAAGAGGTAGTACACCATTTTCTGGAGCAACAGGTACTTCTTCTTCAACAGCTATAAGATACGATCATGATGGGTACACAATTCCTGTGTTCATACAACCAGTGGAACCGAATTATCTTTCGATTGGGACAACAGGAGCCGGAGTTAGGGATCATAGCGAAACAGCTGAGACATACGAAGTCAGAGTGACGAGTGGCTATACGCAACCTAATTTAGCGAGACCTCATTTAAATGTCAGCATTTTCAACAATAAAATTCCTACTGACTATAACGTTCCGACAGGCGCTACTAGTGCAATTTTGACTGGAAGCAGCGTAGAAGGAAGTATTATTACCGATGACTCTTTGCCGGGGACCATCCTCAGTCACGGAAGTATTCCTGGAGCGGTATCAACTACTGCTAGTGAGCAAGGTGCCATCTTGACTGGAAGTATTCAACCTGGCTATATATCTACTTCTTCCGGGACACCAGGATACGTGATTACGGGCGGGGTGAAGAATGTTGACGTTGGATCTGTTAGTGGAGGAACAACAATATACGGAACTCCATCGCCTGGAATTTCATTAACCGGTCCTTCAACGCCAGGTGTCGTTCTGAAAGGTGACATTACTCCAAATGTCGCTATTTCCGGAGAAACTGCTTTTGGAGTATCTCTAGGAGGTTCTACTCAAGCGGGAAGCATCGTGAGTGCAACCGGTAAACCGTACGTTTCTCAGCCAGGCGTAACTTATCAAGACACCAGCGGAAGCAGAGTTGAAACAGGAGGATCAACAAGTTATTCAAGCGCCATTTTGACTGGAGGATTGAGCTCTCAAGGCTACAAACCTGACGGGGGACGTGGCACCGTGACGTTCAACGTTCCTTATGATACTGGAAAATATTCAGAAAGTGATCTTCCGGACTATAGACCAACCAGTGCTACTCTTCCGGACTCTATCCTACCTGGAAGCAGAATAGACAGCACCGGAGGTGTTGTTTTCGGCTCTACTTTATCCGGAGTTCGAGACTCAAGCACTATTGCTCCAGGATACTTTTCGACTAAACCATCTGTCTTTACACCAAGTGGATTCACAAAAACTGGTCCAACTAAAACGGGTATAACCACTGCTCTTTTAAGCGGTGGAGGTAGTTACTCGGTAAGCACAAGCGAACGTCGGCCCATTTTGAATCCCGAAAATATCGGTGAGAAAGCATTCGATGGAAACGTTGGTGGCTACACCAAACCATCGTTCATCGGTAGCTTATCCTCTACTTTAACTCCATCTATTTACTCCTCGACAATTAGGCCAGGTGATCGTGTTACTTTGCCATCAACTGCCTACGGCTATTCGTATCCCAAGCCAGCCGTGAAATTTGTAACTGGCGGTGCAATTTCTTCCGCATCACCTATTTTACCGATCGAAGGTAATCTACCAGTTACAACGCCAACACCGTTTTTGAGTGTTGAACTGCATAATGGATTATCTGACAGAACTAGCGTATTCGAATCAAAGATACCTACTGTATCAAATGATCGCTTACCAACACCGACTGTTACGCCTATAATTTATACCACCAAGCAACCTGGGACTTACCAAACCACTTCGGTATTAACTGAAGATAGATTTACCCAACGGATCGGTGGCTCTCAAACAGGATCGAAATCTAGCATCGGTTTAGGAGTGCCTTTCCAACGGACCGATTCAACTCCAAGGGACTACAGTTCCTTCACTTCGCCGTCTCCAGTTTTAGAATATCTTCCTGGAAAGCCAAGCAAACCTGGTTTCATTGCTTCTACCGCGAAATACGACATACCTACGGTAACGGTGCGACCAGAACTCGTGGGGGTAACTTACAAGAAACCTTCGCCAGGCTTTGGCGTTACATACAAGAGTCCATCTTCCGTCATATCGCCTACCACGTTCAAACCTACTGACACGTACTATTCTGGTCAAGGATTTTCGACTCCGTCTTCCTTGGGAACGACTGTTCGCGGTGGTTCTCCAACAAATTTGGATATCCCAAGAGATGAAATCAACAAATTAATCACCAATTACAGAGGCACTGTTAAATATACACCAAGCGTATACGACAGCTCCGCAAGCTCAGGATTTAATTTAACGTCAACCAAACAGTTCTCTTCGTCGTCTATAAGAACCGGCAGTACTTTTGCTATCACATCTGGCCCCACTATATCTTCTTACGAAGTCACTACAAAATCTGCCGAAGGCAAAGGCAAGGTGATCGTCAAGTGGAGCGATCTTCATCCACTTCTTCTCGGTAAGCTTGGAGCAGACTGCACATGTAAGGCTGATCCTTTCGCTAACCTTCGCGGTCCAGGGAAGAAGAATTTGATCGCCTCTTCGAGGGGCAAAGTGGATCTGTCTAACTATGACGAATCCGAAATCTACGTCGATCTTGAGAACGACCGCTCTTCTGAAGAGGGCGACTACGTTACCAATTATGGAGATTACTCACCGCAGCCCTATAAAATTAGCCCACATGAAACAACGAGCGTCGCAACGGTCTCATCCAACTTACCATCATCCTCTTATTTACCTGCGTCCCCAACAATTAACACGAAAGGTTTTACATCCGCGAAGAGTGACGTTCTGGGAGAACCTAATAGATTCCGGGGTGGTCTTCGAGTCGGCAAAAAATTGGAGAACATTGCTCCGTCACCGAACTCGATTCCTTCCGATGAAGAAGACGATCCCGACCAAATCATCGATGGTGCCACTGACTGTGCCAGACCAGGCCTCTTCAGACATCCTAATCTCTGCAACAAATTCTATGCTTGTTACTGGGATCAGTGGAAAAAGAAGTTCACGCTTCACATTTTTAATTGTCCGATCCATTTGACATTTGACTCAAGGGCTGGCGCATGCAATTGGCCCAGCAAGGGCCCAGCTTGCCAGGCCGACAATTTGTTAGTGTAGGATTCGTTATTGGACACTATTGCGCGCGGTCAATATCTCGGCGACTTTTCTACAGTCCCAGGGAGTTTTTTTCCCAATTTCTTGTGTACATAATAAATAAAAAGATTTAATGTTTACAAATTTGTAAATGTTCAAATTAACTTTTATATTGCTTAATTTAGTTCGAAGGATCCGTTCACTGTCGAATGATGAAATGTTACGAGTCCGTACGCATAGCAGCGTATCATTAAACAATGAACGACTGCTACTTTCACTAATCGGTCTCTCGACCTCGGATTGATTGATAATTTTGTTTCGAGCTCATAGACACCTAGATTCCTAAACGTTTGCATTGAATAGCGTCGATAAATATCGCGTCGAAGTGCATCTCTCAGCATCGGAGAGCGGAGTCGTGGATAGGTAGGTTGAGACAAAGGAGGAGGCTAAATTCAAGGCGATCGAGATACTGGCTGCGGGAAAGCGTTGTCAAAGTGAAAGTAGTTCGTGCTCGTCGATCCAAATCGCAAAAAGTCGTCTGATGTCAATGTATATAACTTGGATTTCTACGCTTCAAATTTATGTAAATATTGAATAAATCGTCTAAAATCATCGTTTCAACAATATGCGATTAACAACGGTATGATATTATCGATATTATCAGTAACATATACGGAATGTACAAGTTATTGCGCACACTTGGCTCTGCAGCTATCTTTTTAATGATATTATATTAAGTCATCGAATAGCAAACTTTAAAGATATGAATAAAACACATTGTCTACTCTTCGTATAATTTCAAATGGTAATCATCATTTGAAATTAAAATTTGCTGTTCATATGCTGACAAGCGTTTCCCATTGTGAGAAGTTCGTTTATGTTACATTTCCCTATTTCGTTTGACGTAACAGTGTCGATAATGCATTTTGCATAATTGATATTCTTCCTGACTGCGTTCGCTTTCTTTTCCGGGTATCAGCAAGTTTCTGGTATTCTTGAAATAATTACTTGATCCTTATTACATACTATGTGCTTGCATTGACTTTCCGTTCCTATCTTTTCCTCCGTGTTTCCAAAAAAAAAATGTTATTTATTCGTTACTTATTAAAAAAACCTAAAAAGCTAGCATCAAACATATATTGTCCCCTGCAATTTTGACAGAACTTCAATTAACGTGCCATTTATCGAGCGATTAATTAAATACTGTTGATAATTATAATGAGGAATAAATCGCGTGATCAGGAACGTTTAAAACGTGTTTTTAACACACTGACTCCTGCCCAATTGAAAAAATATCGTAAGTCGAAAAGAACTTTTCGAAAGAAGGAAAGATGGATTGCCGTTACATCCGTTTGCATTTACAGAATTTGCTAATTATATATTTTTATATTTAAATTGTATCTGAAAAAAACGTTATCGCTTTATTGTTTTCGAAGTTTGCTTTCTTCGCGTTGCTGGTGGTGGAAACTGTCACTACCTAGCCTGTTAACTTGCCAATCGTTAAGTGGTGGGGCGATTGCAGTTACCAATCAGCGAGAAAGAGAGCACTTGCTGCGAATGGAACGAGACGCAAAACGAAAGAAAAAGCTGGTGCTGGCGTGCGATTCACACTAGTCTGGGCTAGAAGGTGATATAAAGGCGTACGAGGGCTCTGACTTGATCTGACTTGACTGTAACACGGAAGGAACAGCCTGAAAGAGGAAAGTCCGTCGCTGCCACACCACTTTTTACCATCATGTAAGTCTCTTTTATTTTGATTGTACAATTAACAGTTGAACAGTTCAACGTTGTTCAATATATCATTAAATTGCAACTTGCTCGAGAAGTCTTCTTTCTGTGTCTTCTGGTGAATTTTGTATTAAAATATTATTTAGTTCTTATAAAAAAAATATAAATTTCACTTAATAACTGACTGTGATTTTATAACTTATACAAAAATATATTCAAGTTGAAGTTTGCGTGAACAGTGTGCTAAACGATCCGCACAATGTTACATAAGAGCAATAATAAAAATGCGGTAAGACTCGACCTTGCAACTAATGTTATCGTAGTTGCGGTTGCTGCTGATCAGTGATGCAAATTATCTACCATTGTTAAAATTACTGTCAAGTTTTTTCCTAGTACGTTACAGTCCCAGGAAAATGGAAAAAACAAACAGATTGAATGCAACTGTGTTCACGATTTGTATTTTTTAAATAATCGCAACTTTATATATTTAGCGTTTACGAGTGAGAAATGAGGATGAGAAACAACGTATATCTCGCTCTAATAATTGACAATTACTTTTACTCATGCATATCGCATCGAAGCTTTAGTAGCGAAAGTTGAGTTGCGTTTCATCTTAGATAAGTTGTATACTCAGACACGTACGAAGTTGCATTAAATTCCTTTGATCGTGGTGGCATTTGTAACTTTATAAAAGATTTGAGTATTTAATTCCTAAATATAAATAGCATGAGTTGAAGAGAATAAAAATAAAAATAATTATTTAAATCATTAGTTTTTTGCGATTTAATATTTTAAAAAACTTATAGATATTTCTCTACCAAAAGACTAAATATCATAGAAATATCAATTTAATTTAAAAAACTGCATTTTCAAAATACAATTTCTCTTTTATATGTTTCTGATTAACAAAAAATTTTATCAATATTATATGTAATAATACGATGATTATAATAATAAATACAAATACTACACAGATCTTAAAAATACTGTCTGAAATCTTTTGTATCAGCATATACTTGTTTAAACATTACTAATAATTAAGCATTAATGACAACCTTCTTTGAAAGCACCAGCAGAAAGAGAAAGTATGAAAAAATGAAAAATGAAAGGTTCGAGATGATTTTACGAAGGGAGGAAGGAGGCAAATGAAAGACAAGCCTGTAGGCTCGGCCGGGTGGTAGCCGCGAGCAGTGAAAGTATCGCGAACCGGCTGAACTTTACCGAGATAGTCACATTGACGATTAAAGTCAGCGGAGCAAAAAGAAGCGAGCGCGATACGAGCACAAAAAAATTCTCTTACACGCCTACGTGACACGTTATGCAAGAACGAGTGGCGCGTCAACTCAGCTGTATTTGCGTCTTTGTACTATGCTAATTTCAAATATTAATTTTCGCATAATGCAGCTAGACTTTACTCATTTCGAGTCTACTCGTAGGTCAGAACTGCGTTGATAAAAATATAAATAATTAGACCAGTTAGTTGTAAACAACTGTTAGAAAAAAATTGAAGCATTTGTGTCATTAAATTTAATTGTGTCATTAAATTATTTAGTTTCTAATCGAACTATATTTTCTTTGGGTTAACACGCTTTAACCTTTTTATTTTGTAAGTCATTTTTTATATTTTATATATTTCTTTATAAGCTATTTTAAGATAAGAGAATTATTAGTGCTTACTTTTTATCGTGTACAACACAGGCGCGCGTCATTTAGCTAATTTTATTCGGAAGCTGGCTACTTTAGTTAATTTTAAGGCAGAATTTTAAAGAGGATTCAAATCACATGCAAATTCAAGCCAAGATTAGCCGGCTAATGAAGACTTACTTATTTCTACGAACAGGGTGGTGTGGGCGGTGCTGATATTGGCAGCGGCCGTGTTGACTGATGCAGCGGTACCAGATCCACCGGAAAACCCTGGTATTACTACAATTGGCTCCAAGAAATTGGCAACTGCTGCTGATTGTGCCGGACTCGTCGCCTTTTCTGCCACTCAAGGCTCGGTGAAGGTAAATTAATGCTATAATCATTAATTCAAATAATCTTAATTTTAATCAACTATAGTGAAGAAAATCTGCGAAAAATATTCCGTCAGTATTCGTAATAATTCAATTATTTTAATTAATTCAAAGAATTCAGTTAATTTATTGATTTAATTATTTTAATTGATTCAAAAAAGCAACTGATCAATTTTCTTAGCAATAAATTTGGTTAAGCTAACAAAGCGATAAAACTAACAAATATTTTCATTATTTCTGACTAAAGTAATCTTACATTTTATAATTATTTGTATACGTGGAAATAAATGTAGAAATGTCTAATTATGCAGGAAGCTAAACTCGTCCTCTCCGAGACTTTGGTAGATAAAGGAGTCGGTTACGCGGCGCAGACAGGGATCTTCACCACGCATTGTCCGGGTCTCTACCAATTCAGCTTCGCCGGATATGGTAGCACGGACCTACGGCTGACGATGAAACGCAAATTGAACAAATCTGAAAGCTGGAGGCCGATTGTCAGCGTTGGTCCAGGCGGAGGAAGTAATCTTGTCCTATTGGATGTCGAAGCCGGAGATCAGCTTGCCGTTTTTGTTGAATCCGGGAAAGTTTCCGATGGAGCTACCTTTACGGGTCACCGCGTTTATAAAAGATAAGCCGGCCTAATGGACAAGAGCCTTCAGAAATTTTAGGCTGATCATTATTGGAAAAGCAAAATTAAAATATTACCAACTGAAACTAATTCATATCATATTACTATTGGAATATTTTATTAAATGTTGGATTTCCAACATTTAGAACATTTTGGATTTCCATATCTACTTTTCAAAGAGTCTATTGAATTAATAATTTATTAACAGGAAAAATATATATAAAATGAATGAAATTTTAGAGTTTCAAATTTTATGAGTTTGTTATAAAGATTTATGACGTATTAGTAACTGAACTTTTTTAAATGTGGCAGCAAAATTATACCGAGTGTTACCTACTTCGAATGTAATCCGGAAATATATAAAGAGAAAAATGGAAATCCTATTAAAGCAAAAGAATAATATAGAAATAAATATTTGAGATATTTTTTATTGCTGCTCAAAAGGCTCTTTCTCATGTGCTGAAAGAATCAGAGTTCCTAATTCGTAGTACTAAAACTTCTCGACGAATTTAACGTTCTGTGATAGCTGCCTCTTTTTGCGGTCAGTCGTTCGTTTAAAATTTTAATTTTCTGATTGGTTGATGCTTTCAGTAGAAAAAGTGAACGTCCAACTCATTTTGCAAGATCGCACGTTAAATCGTATCAATCATGTATCACTTACACGGTACTATGACATTTCCAAGTTAGAAAAACTTCAAACGAAGTTTCACTAGCATGAATTTTCTCGATCTCCATCTTTCGCTTTACACTCCTTTCTCGTTTTGTCACATTTTTATTTACATTAACTTTCTCCTTGTCAAGTCGTTTTTTTCGATATCTTTTTTCTTTTCTTTATTATGGTAACACAATTAAGGATCAACTTTCTCTGTACAAAACTTTTACATGTTTCTATTTTCATATTTCTTTTGATTATTAAAATTTATAATCTCTTTATTGTTCTTTATTATTTCCTTTTTCCACTATTTCTGCTATTCTTTGTTCTATTATCTTTATACCGTTAATCTTTCTCTCGACGTTTTATTTTCAATGTTCTTTTTTCAAGATTAACTCTTCTGCATTGTCTATGTTGTCTTTATCATTTTTTTTTCTACTAAAAATGTTCAACGTTATTATTTTTTATCTCACTCGTATATTTTCTTCGTTTATATCTTCTACATTTTATTTCGTCTATTCTTTTATCCTTCATTTTATCTCTCATTTTTAACTGACTTTTATTATCTTCTTTATTTTTTCTGTGCTATTTTATTTATCTCTATAATAATGTTCTGTCTTTAATGTTCGTTTTTTTTTAATTACTTGTGTGGTACCTTAACCTCTTCTTTCTTATTTCTTTTATTATTATATATCTTCTTTAGCAAATTTGTCAGTAAAGTTTATTTTTGTTGCTTTAAAGTACACTTATGTTTCCATTGTTATCTCAACTTTTACATTTATTTTTCTTCTAATGTTTTCGTTTTCTTACTCTCTTTTGAAGAACTAATTTTTTGCGGTATACTTTTTTGCGGTATATTTTTTTGCGGTATACTTTATCTTTTACTCTGTCGCATTTACACTTTCTTTTTTTATAAATTATATTTTCTCTCTTTTTTCTTAATTTTATCTTTTATTTTCTCTATAGTTCTATACATTAATTCTTTTTCCTGACTTTTCCTCTTTCTCTTTGTTTTTATCTGTGTATCTATGTATCTACTTATTTACTGACAATCTATGTATTTTTCTACCTATCTATTTAACTGTATTTATTTATATCTTTCTTTTGTTTCTTAAAGAGACTTAGTCACAGAACGTCAATAAACATCACTGTGTCTCTTTTTTTCTTTCTTCCTCTTTCTTTCTCTCTTTTTCGTTTCAATGTCACAGTTGCTCGCTATCACAGCAGTTATATCGAAGAGAAGACTTATAAAGTCAGCGGTAAACAAAACAAAAAAAAAAACAATCATGGTAATAAAGAAGAAAAAGGAGCAGTTCAGTAAGCGACAATGGAGAACGCGTGCGCGTATTTGCGGCGAACAGTGCGATTTATTTTTCTGTAATATCTTTATTAAAATATATGAAATGTTAACATTAAACAATTGTACATATTCTTTTTATTCCGGAGAAGATTACAGCTAAGAGCCAGTTATTCGTGTAACTTTAAGTAATATGTTTTTTGGAAAGAAACATGAGTAAATTTCGGTAATGTTGCCAAGTTTTTTCTTCCAGAGTCAAATATTGAGTTCAACAGTATTACTTTCCAAGCCTTTATAATTTTCAAGCACAGGATATACCTCGTCTTCAAGAAACTCGACGACCTGTTCAGGTGCTCTGCCAACGAAAGTCGAGGGATCCAACAGAACATCCAATTGAGGTAAAATCGGTGCGAAATATGGGTCTTTTTTTATTCTATCAACTAGATCGTTATCCAAGCCATGTTGTTTTACTTGTGCTCCGGCTTCTTGAGACAATACACGAATTTTTTCATGACAAACCTAAGCCAAAGCATAAAAATAATATGTATAATATTATTTACCTAATATTCATATACGTAATATTTTTTAAACTATAAATATTTAAAAACTGATGTCATATAAAATTTTGTTATTACGTAACATAGAAATTAAGAACATTTCAAATTCTTCAATTAAAATTTACTCAGATTATTTGTAAACCATAATTTATATTGTCTTATTCGTATATTAATAAGACGAATATTAAAAACATTTCAAGTTCTTCAATTAAAATTTACTTAGTAGATTATCTGTAATCCATAATTTATATTGGCTTATTTGTATACTAATAAGGCGAATATAATTGCAAGAGATTTCTTGTCTGTATAGATGCAAATATTGAAAGAATTTTCGTACCTGTCTATCACCACCAGCCTTCACCATGGCCATTATTACGTTCTCCGCAGACATGAAGGGCAGCTCTTGCGCCACGTGTCTGGCAATTACCTTCGGGTAAACAACTAATCCTTCCGTGATATTTTGGAGAGTCATTAGAATCGTATCCGCCGACAGGAAGGCTTCAGCCAAAGTAAGTCGACGATTCGCCGAGTCGTCTAGTGTTCGTTCCATCCATTGATTCGCCGCAGTTTGAAGAGCATTGTTTACCAGCGTCATCAAATGACGTGCCACACTGCAGCATCTTTCGGAACGCATGGGATTGCGTTTATAGGGCATTGCGCTGGAGCCTATCTGCGTACTTTCAAACGGCTCTTCGATTTCCTTCATGTTAGCGAGAAGACGAATGTCTGTGCAAATCTAAAAAATTAAAAGAAGATTTTTAAAAATTCTAAGAAGATTCAATGGAAGATGTAAGGAACAAAATCGAGAGAAAATATTATAAACGATAAACAAGAAACGATTGTATTGAAGAAATTTCACAAATCATAAAATATAACTATGTAAACTATATAAAAGAAATTATGACAAAATAAGGCACTTCTTAATAAAAAATTTATAGTGGTAAAAAAAAAGGTAAACGTTTGATTCTTTGAAGTTTATGTTTTAACAGTTACGGATATAGCGTGTTATGAGCTCACCTTGTGAACAGTTGCACCGAGTGAACTTAAAACATTCAAGCACTCTATGTCAACTTTTCTACTGTAGGTTTGTCCGGTAACGCTGTAATATTTTTCAAAACCGGCCATCTTGGTAATAAGGGCGTCCAATCGTCTAACTTTTTCAGCATCACCTATTAATATTTAAACATTTATGTAATATACTTTCTCTTACAAGTCAAATAAAATGATTTATGTGTCAAATAACAGCAAATTAAAAGACCAAGTGAACTAACCGTTAAAAAGTTGAAGAAAAGAGGCCTGGGTACCGGTAGTGCCTTTAGCACCGCGGAACCTGAGATCATTTCTGGCGCGACGGATAGCCCTTTCATCCATTATGAGATCCTGCAGCCATAGAGTCGCCCTTTTTCCAACTGTTGTTAATTGCGCGGGTTGAAGATGAGTAAAGCCTAAAGTGGGCAAACTACGGTTTTCAAGAGCGAACTTTGCAAGACGTCGAAGTACACTGACTAATTTTGGGAGCAGTATATCGAAGCCTTGGCGGAGAATTAGAAGATCCTTCCGAAAAAAACAGTATTAAAAAATTAATTGGTTTCGCGTTCTCGATTAGTTAAGTTAATTTTTGCAACACATACAGAAATTCACTAGACCAACAATTATTGATTAAATATTTAATTATATTTTCTTGTAAATATTAATAACTAAAAGGTGTAATGGAATGCTTTAATATCCCTTAATGTAATAATATTTGAGAACATAACGGTATTGATGACACATTGTGAAGTTTAACACTTTGAAGTGCTAAATAATTAACGGTACATACTGTATTATCGCCTACGTAGCAACTGGTCGCGCCGAGATGGATGATGGGAGCAGCTCGTGGGCATTGTTCACCGAATACGTGAACATGTGCCATCACGTCGTGTCTGGTCGCTTTTTCTTCTTCGGCAGCAGCTTCAAAATCGATGTTGTCAACGTGAGCCTCCATTTCGGCGATTTGTTCCGGCTTGATGGCCAGGCCGAGTTCCTGAGAAAATGTTGCTGATAAATATTTCCGAATGACATTCGCTCCACTATTAGCGCCGTCATTTTAGTTCAAAAATTAAAGGAATACGCTTGTACAATGCAACGAATTTAAACGCTTTTTATCGCTTGATAAAATTGCGCATGTGTAACGCAATCTTCTATTTCTTATCCCCCTTTCAACGTACTCGCTGTATCATCAGATTAGATAAAGAGGGCTGGGTTCTGTTAGGAAGATCTAAAACGCTCACCTTCATTTTATACGTTCGTTTCACGTGGATGGACTGATATAAAAAAAGTTTGCAAATATGGTGTCCTTGCAGACTATTGCGAGTATAGTGATTAAAGTGCTAAAATTGGTGAGAAGATATTTTACGTGTTGTAATCGTGTGAGGTGTATAATTGTACAAAAAGCTCTACAGAAGTTTTAAAGTCACGATATTTAAAAATCATTTAATATAGAACGTTACGAAAATTATGAAGAATAATGATAAAAGAATTGAAGTTTTAGCTAAAAAGAAAGATCGATTTTATGTTGTGTCAATAGTGTGTGATCAAAGTTATTTTCAACATATTTGGTAATTTGGGATATGTTATAGTAATTCTTTAAAGAAAGGCTTTTTTATCATTCTTAAACTATAAAAATTTTTTTTCTTGTGGAGTATGCATAATATAATTTACTTGATTTGTTGGATTAAGTAAAGTATCAGCAATTGATAATGATATAACCTAGAAAACCTTCGCGCTGCCATCTTAAAGCCATCGTAAACAATTGATATATAGCGTATTGTAATTGACAGATTGTACAATAAATGTACAGATTGTACAATAGATTTCGCGGTCGATGACGTTAGATCGCGAAAGATCGCGGTTGAGAAGTCGTTACAAATATACTCATTCAAAGGGCGTTCTTACGAGACGTATGAATCACGCTTTCTGTTCTTATCGGTGGGTTTGTGATAACGCACGTTGTTTGAAAAGCGATATTGTCGTACGCTTTGATGCATGGAACTCCATCATGCTCTAGAAAATTTCTATAATGATAAGACGGAAACGATATCTACGATATATCAGGTTGAAATTCTTACTTTGATTATTCATTTCCATATTTAAAATTTTTAACGTCGAATCGACAATTCAATTCTAAATAAAATTTTCGTTTCCACAAATATCAGAACAAATTAAGTGAAGTATAAGTTTCTCTATTATTTATCCTCTAATGGATAAATGCGTGATTAAGATATGACTATAAACTAAGTCTCTTCTTGGCAATATAGCTGAAGTAAAATAAATATATATATTATTTATCTTCTAAAGTTTAATTTTCCGGGGCTTGCACAATTCCCGTGTTAAAAAAGATATGTAATTAAGTAATTCGTAAAGAAAATTTGTTCCAGAATCCAAGAATACTATTTTTTATTATTGTTATAAATTTTTTAGAGCTCCTCTCTCTCTCCCCCTGTGCATATTTTAAACATATTCTTATGATTTATCGATTTACAGGTCCTCAACCTCATTATTTTAATCCTGTACCGTACAGGATATGGTGGTGAGTTTTTAGGTGTTGGTGGAACGTGGAATTTAAATGAAGACAAGAATCCTGATGCTGAGATCGTCGCTTCCGGCGTTTTCGTCGGATTCTTCGTATATACGACCGTCGTACTCATCAGCTACTGTTTTGGAAATACCGATCACAAGAGATCTCTCGTCGTAAGTGATATCTCTGAGAATATTTTTAATAAATTCTGAATGCATTTTTGTCTTGCTGAAAGAAAAATAACGTTAGATCACATAATTCTCCAATTTTAAGCTTCAAAATATTGAATTAATATATTTGAAACATATAATATTCTTTTTTGTTTTTTTAAAAAGGAAATCATTATGAATTTTGTGGGAACTTTCATGTTTGTGGCTGTGGGTGGAACGGCTTTACATTACTGGCATGGTTATCAATCTGAGCATAAATATATGTATGACTCGTCAGAAAGACAGGTAAGTTGAGTCATTAACGTATAAAGTGAGATTGCAAGAAATTGCTATAAAATTGAAAGGGAAACCATTGATATGATATTAAATTGAGACGATTTGATGATTTTAGATCGGTTTAGCTGTGGGCTCATTGTGTGTTTTGGAAGGTGCGACGTATTTGTTGGATTTGATACTGAGCTTCATTTATTACGCTAAGGACGAATTTAATTAACTAGTAGAAAGAGTATTGCAATATGATAGACATTGACAATATTTACAAAGAACTATCATTTCATTTTATAAAAGTTCACTCACATCATAGCGGTTATATAAGTACATAAACATAAAAATTTCATTGAAGGATCGCGGTTAGACATTTTTAGTATTTCAAAATATATAATTAGTCACATTAATCATGACTAATCTTGTTATTTTTATTTTAGAAAGAGATAAAATCTTCTCTACATTTTTATACCAATGCATATATTTATTCATAAAAATGTTTTTTCATGTTAAAACGTTCATATAAGATACAATAAAGTATATAATGAGACAATAGTAATGTATAGATAGTAATAAGTGGTAATATATAGAAATATTATATAATATGAAATATCTTAAAGTATATTCTTTAGTACATAGTTTAGTACGATATTCTTCGTTAATGCTATTTTATGCGTTATAAATAATGTCTATAATATATAGAATGATTATAATAATTGGGCTACGTTATAGTTCTGTTTCAATTAAAGTGAAAAATATTTCACGCAGTTTAGTGAGCTCTATCCTCCTGTGAAACGATTTTTTTCGCAAGAATGCATTGATGCACTAGCAAAAAAGTAAATCGTATCGCAGTGGAACAGAGCTCATATAACAACATGCCAAATCTTTCCTTAATATATTTTTTTATTAGCTATAACTCGGCTCAGTTACAAGAAACACTCTGCACCCTGCACTTATATATTAAGAATATAATTATGTCATATCTGTCATAAATAAATCGGCATTTCTACCGTCGTGTTCATGGTGTTACCATACAGTTTTATTTTTCCCTGATATATATATGCGCGACTTTTATCTACTCGTTTAGCAAGCGATAATACGTGTCGTGTAATAATTATGCAAGTGACCTCTTTGTTCACAACGCGGTCATTGCGGAAACCGAGGAAACGCAAAGAAGAAGGCAAAAAGGAAAGAAAATATTGTGGTCAGGAATAAAACTCACGTCCTTTTCGAAATAAACGACTCATTTGCTCCGTGAAGCTCGGCCGGATAATACCATCTTAAGCCGTAAGATGCCATCGTACGCACCAATTAATCTACTTGACCTGACGATCGTCGCGGGTGACCGGTACGATTACATACCCACCCACGAGTTGGATACATAATCGCGTTAATTATGAGGGTGTTATCTAATTTATTTAACTTATAAACTTAAGAATATAATAGGCCCAAATGTCTACTTACTCGGGCGAGAAGCGTGATATTTTAAACGATAAAGGAGAAACGCGTGTCAACCGTGATCTCGAGCAATATTCATTCTTCACTCATACTTCCCAAATAAAACAGATCTCCACGGGACATCCTAAAGACATTCTGAGAACGTCCCTATGTCCCGAGAACGTCTCCAGAACATCCTCTGGAGATCGTATGATGTCCGGGTTTATTCTTCGACGTTACACGGAAAAAAAAGATTTGCTAACATATGGATTTTTACTATGAAAGTAAGAAAATTTGCTCCTGCAGTTAATATTTTTAGTTAACCATATATTAACAAATCTTTTTTTCCGTGTATGCTTTGAATAAAGTACTCGTTGTATGAGATACGACAGAAGTCAAGTCTCATTTAAAACGTCGTCGTTCCAAATAAAAGTTTGCTCTAATTTACATAATTATAACCTCTTTACTCGATCGCCTGCTGGTGGCTGAGGATAATTCCGCTGAATTTTCGGTACTCGGCGGTTAGCATGCGGCCGGATGGAGAAGCCAATCTTAAAACACGATGACCACAAGCTTTGACACGATTATACCTATGAGCTTTCTTTCGTTTCTGTGGATTTGCATTGTCGTATTCTTATGTCTAAAGGTAACTCAGTGTAATAAAAAAATAATATTTTGCGTACTGCCGACAGACCGAAGTTACTACTGTATGTGCATTTGTATAGCCAACGAAACCTGCATGTTTGCGATTGCATACGCTTTATAAATGTTTCATTGAGGACGAGTTGACATAGATCCGTAATAATCGCAATATAGATGGCAAAAGGTAGCTCTCGTCATACAATATGTGGATCGATACCACGACGGTTCGTTTTCCGGCTAAGTCGGCTAAAAGGCAAGTAAGTGCAGTCTCTAAAAAGCGTAGATTAATATAGAGCCATTGGCTCTTCCTCAGTATTAAATTCTGCTCCATGTAGGGACTGATAGCAACGTCGAATTTAATTCATGAGAAAATGTAGGAGCAAACGTGTAGGAAGTCTGCCTCTAAATGAATATAAAAAGAACATTAATTTAGATGAAATCTTGGTTGATTACGTTCTCCAAGTTATTTCTTCAGGTCGAAAGGCGGGAGTTCGATCACCTTTAACGCAACATGCTTCGTACACTTGCTGTATAATCGAGGTTCTACTTATCGTATACCAAACAAAAACATTGAGTCTATCAATTATGGCGGTCTAGCAGATGAATGGTTAGTAATTTCGAGTTAAAAATAATTACGTTGCCATAATTATACGAGGCGTAATAAGCGCGTGTTTGCGTGTAATACGATCGTGCGCCTTTTCAATACGTGCGTCAAGCTGCCCACGGAATTACGACGTGTCCTTGCACTACTACAACGTCAAAATACCGTCACGAAACGGGATCGGATATGTTTCCGGCCGGAGAAGTCACTTCTGTGGAGATTTATTACGAATTTTATAACTCGCTCTGCATTTGATTGCGTGTATCGTTAAATAATACTAATAATATCGCTAAATAAAGATCAAATGGTTAGTACAAATATAGTTTATATTATCATTATTTTATTCATCTCGTCTCTCCTATATATATATATGTGTATATATATATATATACGAGGGTGGTCTGAAAAGTTTCCGACCTAACAAAGATACAAGTCATTTTTTCTGAAAATTGTTTTTTATTTTTCAACATAGTCTCCTTGTAAATCTACACACTTCTCCCAGCGATGCTCCCATCTCTGTAACCCGTCGAAATAGTACTCGGCGTTTTTCTCTGCAAAATAATTGTTCACGAAGGTGATTGCCTCTTCATTTGACGAAAATCTCTGTCCTCCGAGCGCAATTTTTAGATGAGGGAACAAAAAGAAGTCGCTTGGGGCTAGATCTGGTGAGTAAGGTGGATGGTCAAGCAGTTCAAACCGTAATTCGTGGATT